GGAGTGCTAGGGACAAAATCCCCAGGGGCGCGCTGGATTTTTTTTTTTGTTAACCCCCTTCCTTTCTTGACCAAAAAAGAAAACAAAAACACGAAGGGAGCGATGAGAAAGGGACGAGATTCCTTCAGTCTCGAGAAAACTCCCAACTTGGCTTTTTGCTGGGGTGCAGACCAGTCCGGAAGCCCGGGAGCAAAGGCGGGAGGGTGGGGGGGTCTTTTCACGCAAAGGGGAGGACACTCAAAGGAGCTTTTTCGCCATCACAACAACATCAACAACAACAATAAAAGGTCGCCCGTCTCCCTCCGCTCCGCCGCGTCCCCGGAGAGTGTGGGGGATGGGAGCGCGGGGTCCCCAAACGACGCGCGCTCCTCTCCGGCGACCGCCACACGGCCGAGCCGGCCCCGGTTATCACTTTTTTTTTTTTCCTTTTCCTTTTTTTCTTTTTTTCCCTTTTCTCTTTCAAACTTTTCTCTCTGTCCACCTTTTCTCCCTCTGTCGCCCCGGCCCTCCTCTCCAGCGCGCGCCATCAGTAGGTGAAGACCAGGTTGGAGATGCTGGATTCGAGCCAGTCCCCCGAGATCATCTCGCTGACCTCGGGCGTGCAGTAGTCCGGGAACTCGAAGTGCGAGCCCGAGCCCGGCTCCAGGGTGAAGTCCAGGTCTCGGTCCAGCGCCGACGACGAGCTGAAACTGCCCAGGGACATGCTCTCAAAGTTTGAACTGGGGTTCAGGTCGAGCAGGTCGTCCTCGAATTCGTCGTCGGAGGCCGAGGAGCCCGCGGAGGAGGAGGCGGAGGAAGAGTGCGACGAAGCCGAGGAGGACGCGTGCGAGGGCGCGCTGGACGGCGCGGGCGAGGCGGCGCGCAGGCTGGCGTAGCCGCGATGGTCCGCCGGCGAGCGGCCAGCGGCTGGCGACGACGCGGCGCTGCTGCGGCCGCTCAGGCTCGGCCCGTCGGGCGGGCAGCCCGCGCCCCCCTCCTCGTAGAGGCCCAGGGGGTCGCTGGGGTCGGCGGCCGCACCCACGCCGCTCGCGGGCGACGCCGCGGCGCCCAGGCTGCCGAACAGGTAGACGCGTTTCACCTTCTTCTCCGCCGGGGGCTTGCCCGGGGCCGCGAGCGCGGTGGGGGCCGAGGCCGCCGCGGAGGCGGCAGAGCCGGGAGTCCGCGCCTTGTACAGCGAGTGGTGGTCGGAGGCCGCGGCGCCCAGGGGCAGCAGGGCGGCGGCCCCCGCCTGCTCGGCAGCAAAGGACGAGGCGGCCGCCGCTTTCCCGCCGCCGCCGCCGCCAGCCAGGATGAGTTTGGCGTGCGGCTTGCTGCCCCCGCCGCCTGCCACCTTGGAGCCGCAGCTCTTTTTCTGCGCCGGTTTAGAGTTGGCGCCTCCGCCGCTCGCGCCGCCGCCTCCGCCCCCCGCGTTGCTGCTCCCGCCGCCGCCGCCGCCCCCGTGGCCGCCCCCGCCGCTGCCACCGACCTTGTCGCCCTTCTCTCCAGGCTTGGAGGCGGCCGCGGCCGAGGAGCTGGCGTTGGCGTTGCCGGACTTCACCTTCTTCCTGGGCCGGTACTTGTAGTCGGGGTAGTCAGCCATGTGCTTGAGGCGCAGCCGCTCCGCCTCCCGAATGAAAGGGATCTTGTCGCTGTCTTTGAGCAGCTTCCAGCGTTTGCCCAGCCGCTTGGAGATCTCGGCGTTGTGCATGTCGGGCGATTGCTCCATGATCTTGCGCCGCTCGATCTGCGACCACACCATGAAGGCGTTCATGGGCCGCTTGATGTGCCCGCTCGGCGTCTTGCACCAGCTCGGGTCGTCGGCCTTGCCGCCCGTGGAGGCGGTGGAGCCGGGCGTGGGGGACGAGGCGATGCCCAGCTCGAGGCCGGCGCCCGAGTCCGAGCTTTCGCCGGCCAGCAGCGCTTCCGTGTTCTCGGCGTTGTTGGTTTGCTGCACCATGGCCCCGGCTCGGCGGGCGCCCACGCGCGCTCACAGCCTTGCGGCGGCCGCGGCGCTATCGCCGGGCCCTCTCGGCTCCCTGAGCCTAGCGCACGCCAAACGGGAGGAGGCGCGCGGCGGCCGAGCGGGCCCCTCCACTCCTGGCCGGGGCGGAGGTGGGCGAGCAAAGTCTCCAAAAAGATGCAGGGAAGGAGTCTTGCGCCTCTTGCAGAGGAGTTATAGTTCCCAGGCTGGAGACTGTCCCTCCTCTGTCTCGTCCTCTCTCTCTCTCTCTCTCTCCCTCTCTCTCTCTCACCGCGCCGCAGTTTGCTCTGTCTCTTGGCTCTGAGTCTGGAGACCGTGCTAAAGTGGAGAGGAGTTTCTTGAATGCTGGTTGCTGAAGCTTCCAATGCAAGTTTCTCGCCGCCTCCCAGACAAGTCTTTTTTTTTTTTTTTTCTTCTTCCCCTGAAGCAGTTGATTCCAGTTCACAAGCGCTCTCAGGAGCTCAGGAAAGCGACATCGTCTCTATCATTTAGCCCCTTTCCTACAATGCAAAGCCAAAAAGACTCTGGCACCAGGACTCTCAGTGGGCGGAATCGGCACTAAGGAGTTTGTGCAATTTTGCTGCAAGGTAAGAAGCCAAAAAGCCTTCATGCAACAGACTGGCATGAATAAATGTATGTTTCCCCCTCCCTTCTGCAAGAAGGGAGCTGGTAATGGCAGAGTTCCTCCAATGCAGACTCTTAAAAGAGCGTGCAAGAACTAGAGACCCAGGAGCGAAACAGGCCTCTTCCCCTCACACAGTTTCTCTTGCTGCAGCTTAGAGCAGACCCCAATTCCGCCTCGCGCCTCTTTATCCTTTCACAGTCTTGGCCGGGGCCAATCAGCCGCTGTAACCAACGCTTCCTCGTGCCAAGCCCCTCCCCGGTGCTTCCCATTGGCTTGGAACCCGATGCAATAATAATCTCCGCGTGCAATGAGAAGCTCCAAATCTGACCTCATTCCAATTTACAGAGCAAACTTTTTAAAAGGGCTAGAAGTACAGCTGAGATTTCTGCTGCCTCTTTTTTCCTTTTGCGCTGTGTGTGTGTGTGTGTGTGTGTGTGTGTGTGTGTG